AGCCCCATGAGGAGCCTGTGTGGGATTCTCTCCCTCACCCTCTGCTTGCCCCCCCTCCCCATTCATGCACACACACTCTCTCTCAAAATAAATAAATAAACAAACAAAAAAATAAGGGGGGATGAGGGAGGAATTCTGTGGTCAAATAAGTTGGAAACCATGGCTAAAACCTGCCTTGCCAGGGGACTTCTCAGGGCCTTAGGGATGTTGCTGTACACTGTGGGATTAAGCATACAGCATTTCCCAAACTCATCTGACCATTAAACCCCCCTTTTGAAAATTAATGTTTCTCAGAACATGTTTTGGGAATTGTCTTCCTGAAGCCTTGCTACCCAAAGTGTGGCTTGGGGAGCAACAGTATCAGCTTCCTCTGGAAGCTTGTTGGAATTGCAGAATCTTGGGCCCCTTCCCCAGACTGACTGAGTTAGCACCTGCATTTATACCATACCCAGGTGATTCTTGTGCACACTAAAGTCTGAGAGTCTCTAAAGTACCAAATGGTGAGCGTGCCCACTGTCACAGAATAAAACCCATACCTCTAGCTGGGCATTTGCAGTGCTCTGTGACTGGGTTCCACTTGCTTCACCAGCCCCACTTCCTACCCATGCTGCTCCAGCAGCACTTTTGATGAAATCTCTTAGTGGTGCCTCGTTAAACACACCTATCCCGACACCACCCCAGACCCACTGAATCAGAACCCCTGGGCCAGGGAATATAGTTTTTTTTCTTTCTTTTTGGGGATGGCTCTATGCCCAATGTGGGGTTTGAACTCATGACCCTGAGATCAAGAGTTGCATGCTCTACTGACTGAGCCAGCCAGGCACCCCTGGTAATGTGTATTTTTAAAAAGTTCTCCAGATGGATCTGTTACATAGCCAGACATGGAACCCCTGCAGACACCCTGTTCTTTAGCTTGAAAGAACTGGCAATTCACTAACAGCCCTCCATGGAATACTGGGTATTTGAGCTAGTCCTTGACTAAACCTCATTTGTCTCATCTGTAAAATGGAGGATAGTACTATTTCATAGGGTTATTTTAGAATTAGGAGAGATAATGGCTAAGTCAGCATTTACTAGAGATTACTTATTTCTATCATGATTCTTACTCAGGAGCCCAGAAGAGATTCAGATGCCACTATAGGCCAAGCTGGTAGGTGACCAGCTGTTTGGATTAGAAGTGCTGCACCTAGGGCCCACCACTCTGGCTACACTCACGTGTTTGCTGTGGTTGCTGCAACGGACTGGCTGATCCATACCTCTCCATCTGTGTCCCCACCAACCTTGACATCCCCAACTGAAGAGAAGGAAAGGAGCTGGGGAAAGGACAGACCACATACCTGGTTGTTTTTCCCTTTTTGATGGCATTTGCTTTGCATCTCTGGGGAGGCCTCCCAGTGGATCTGGAGACAGGGAAAGGGAATGGGCTGATGTGTTGACCCCAGGACCCTTCCCTTTCACCATTATCTGTGGGACCAGGTATAGGACTGCAGGGAACAGGGGAAACTGGGGTACAGGTAGGTTTCAGGAGGAGCATTGGATGGTAAGGGAGACGTGGGTTAGGAAGGGCCATGCTATCTGACCAGGGGGCTGTGGAAGGCTGGCGAGGCTTCCAGGAAATTGAGGTCCCAGGGAGGTGGATAAAGCTGGAGATCCTCTGGGTGTTCCAGGTTCTAAGGGCTAACCTCTTTGTGAGCCCCATCTCCTATGTCACGGGCATTGAGAGAGAAGAGGGCACCTCGGGCTCCAACCAGCAGTCTTGCTGAAGACTCCTCCAGCAGCAGCGTTGAGTAGTTCTGGGCTCGGCCCTTGAAGTGCCGGGTCCTGGAGAGCTCTTGGGGAGAGTGGGAGTCGTGAGCCCAGTCCTGGGGTGTCCTCCCCACTCCCAGACCTGGCTCCTGCTGCGTTTCAAATTTGGCGGGGGGGGGGGGGGGGGGGGTGCAGCGTCTAACCTTCATAGGGGATGGTCATCCGTGGGATGGCATCTAGTTCTCTGGATGGTCTCCGCAGTGAGGGTCCAGGGACTGCAGATGCTGTGAGGAAGCTCAGGAAGAGGGGCCAGAGCCTTCCCCACATTTTTCTGGGGAGGCCCAGACCAGTAAGACCCCCAAGGGGAGCCAGGGCCACAGTCACAGGGTATGATGGCAAGAATAGTCACAGGGGTCAAGGTCCAGGGAGGTCACTTGGAAGGTCAGGGGTCATGGGGCCAGGGAGGGTCCTGGAATCGAGGGGACATGGAATCACAGGGTTGTGTGGCCATGGAATCCCAGGTTAGAGGTCAGAGGGAGGGATGGATCACACACTGCTTTTCTGCATCAAATACAAACTCCATGGTGGGAAGGAGTTGTGGGGTCATAAGGGGGTTGTAGGTCACTGATGGGGTCACCCTGCCCCGACAGCAGGACTAGTTCTGGTTCTCTGAGGTCCGTTTTCTAAAGAAAAAAACAGGGTAGAAAAGCTCTTTTATCTGTGTGTGTGTGGAAGGTAGATGGCATTACCCCCAGACTTCAGGGGGCACTGGTGGGAGGGACCACAGAACTCCTACGTCAGGATTGGCTCACTGTCGCTCTGTCCACTTCTCTGCTCTGATGCAAGTTGGGTAGAACTTGCCCTCCTTACAAGACCCTAGACTCCTCCCAACCCGAACCCAAAGTATCCACCCTCCTCTGGCCAATTCAGAGGCTAAGCTAGGCCTCCGTCTCCGTTTTCAGAGAGAATGCCTTCTCCTCCCAACAATGGGACCAAACTTGGGGCAGCAGCTGCCCCTGCTGCCTGCGGGGGTGCCTTATGCAAGAAAGCTTGGCAGAGACATTTAATGGGCCTTTGTTGATTTTGTCCTGTTTTCCCTTTGTTTTTTCTTTTCCCTGGCCCAAGAGCTCCCTCTGGAATCTCTCTTTAATTAGACACTTCTCCTCCTCAGCATTCCTCTCCGAGGGGGTGCACATCTCTACTCTGCCCATGCGAGTCTGTACTGCACTCTCTGGCTAGGCATCCACACGTGTCCCTACCTGCAAATAGGCATTCATAGACATGGTGGGGGGCGGGTATCTGGGGCCCCCTGGCTGCACTGCACAGGTGTAATGTCTATGCAGGATGCTCTAGTGTGCAAGGCCAGTTGAGATAAAAGCAACATGGAAATGGTGAGTGATGGGAGCTCTTGGCCACCTCCCCTGGCTTACCCTGGAGACTATTCCACACCTGGACTCTCTCTCAAGTCATGTGGGGATGGGGTGGAAGTAGGTGGCAGATCTCCCCTGACCCCTGTAATAGGCCTGATCTCTGAGGTGGCTCTTGAAGGCTTCCTGGACTGGGCTGGGTGTGGAGGAAGCCTGACCCACCCAATCTCATCAGACACCCACAGACACAGCCACAAGGGCCACTGGCCTCTCCCCTCCTTTCCAGGTCAAATATTAACTATGTGGCCTTGAGGCGAGGGGAAGGACTAGGATCCGGCCAGAGGGAAAACAGGAATTTGGAGCATTTATTCAAGAGGTAAAGGTCAGCACTGTAGTGGTCAGAGCCCAGAGGGGGAGAATATAGTATGAGTGTAGAGAAGAGTGTAGACTAGAGGGCGTCAGCTCCTCATCTGGGGGCTGGGCAGCACGAGGCCCCAGGCAAACTGCCCATGCCCCACCCCTCACTGTGGAGGCACACCTGTTTACCTTTGGGGCCTCCTATTTGCTTAGTGCAGAAGTGGGGTGAGGGGTGGAGAGGGAGCCCTACGGCTATGAGGTATCAGGCTCTAGGACTGGGCAGGAGGAACACACTCCAGGTTAGAGAAACCACTCAGAGTGTGGTTCATGGCAGAAGTCACACATGTCCAGAAGGGGGTGATGTGCACACAATAGGTGCACATACACACATGTTCACAGAAGGGTTGTGAACAAATGTACTCATAGGAGAGTCATGCACACATATTCACAGGGAGGTTTGTGCACACATATGCTCATATAAAGGGCCTGCCAGATGCGTTCATACACATTGACAAATAAGGCTCTATTCACATATTCTCATCCATTCATTCAGCAGATCGCACAGCCTCAGAAGTTAAGGAGGGTTATAAATCCACACGTGTGCATATGAAGGATTGTACACCTATTCACAGAAAGGTCGTGCACATACATATGTGTAGGGACATGCACACAAACCCACTGATACAGTAGGTCAGGCATGTTCATGTTAACAGAAGGGTCAAGTACATGTATGTTCACACAGTGCTCAGACACACAAATTACATGTGTGCAAAGGCAGCATATGTTCAAACAGGGGTCCAGTTCTCACTGCAGGGTTGGAGGCTGCCAGTGTCCACTGAGGTGCAGAGCAGCACTACCTCCCTTCCTCAAAGTCCCAATTTTAAGGCCAGATTCCAAATGTGTGTGCGTGTGTGTGTGTGTGTGTGTGTGTGTGGTGATGTAGGGAGGCATCTGACCTCAGATGTTCAAATGCAACGGGCTTCTCTGCAAAGGAAGGGGTACCTAACCCAGATGGAAGGAGGCCCCTCGCTTTAGCAAAAGAAAGATGGAATGGAACTTAGCACCGCTCCACTCCCCTGTATGCTGCCGTTCTAGATATGGGAGTTGGGCAGGGGCTCTCAGCCTCCATTTAACCTGTTGGGAGGGAGGGCGGGGCTAAACGGGGGGCGGAGCGGCTGCCCTCCCTCCCCCAGTGGCGACAAGGCTTCAAGGTCTCCAGTCTACACCCCACACTCCACCCCCAGTTGCACAGTTTGGGTTCCTCCCTAGGGCCAGCCCCCTGAACTCTGATCACCTTCCGAGTATTAGATCCTAGGGCTCAAGAAACTGAGAAACGGAGGCACCCCCTCCCCCTCAAAACAGGATCGATGTTGGATCAGCAGGCTCTCGACCTTCATCCCAGACGTCCACCTGCTTAGTGTAGGCGGCATTCCCCTCGGCCCAGTAGGATGGCCGTCTCTTCTGGCCTGAGAGCCCTTCCCCCGCTACCCTCTCCTTCCATCATCCTGGACAGTATGAGGGTCTTCCCTCTCCTCAGATCTAACCTCTGTCTCTACTGCTGCAGCTCGAGGACAAGCTCTCCTTCGATCCCGCTGGACGCCAGGAGACGTGACCCAGATCCCAGGGAACACTGTTCGCCACGCGGGTCCCCGCCCCACGCCGGTCCCCGACTCCGCGGTGGCGGGTCTGCGCCCTGCACGGCAGGAGGCCTGGCCCGCGCCCCTCCAGCGCCTTTATAGCAGGACCCGGGACTTGACGGTGAGAAAGGCCTGGCCCAGCTTGGAGGGTGGAATGGATGTGGGGAAGGCCTGGCCTGGCCTCCGCCCCCCGGCCCAGGCCCCGCCGCCGCCCGCGCTCCCTGCCTCTCTCACCTTTGCGCTTGGATCCCCGGCCATAGAGACGGCGACGCGCTGCTCCGCGGCCTCACAGCACCAGCTGCGGGAGGAAGGGGCTGCGGCCGGAGGCGGGGCGGGGGGTGGAGGCGGAGCCGGGGGTGGGGCGGGGGCTGGAAGGCGGGGCCAGGGAGGCGGGGCCGACAGGGTGGGGTGCAGGGAAGGGCGCCGCTCTCTTCTTTCGCGCCCCCCACCCTACACGATAAAGGTTTGAGGCCAAGGCTCACACGGCCTCCGGGCATCTGGCGTCCTCCACCCTCAAGGGCAGCAGCACCAGTATCGCCCCCTGGTGGTGGCCTCACCACCCCTGCGCTCTCTCCATGGGCTTCTGGCCCACCTTGCCTCCCCTCTAACCCCAGGACCCCTCTGACTTGCCTACTGTTGGGGACTTGCAAACCTGTTCTCTGGGGGCTTAACTTTCCGAGGGCCCTCTGACCAGTCTTCTAATATGGACCTCACTTCTTGCGTTCCTGCTACACTCTTGGGCTCTCTGCCCAGGGTGCTGAGGGCCAGGGTAGGTGGAGGCCAAGCCTTGGGGGCAGCTCTGAACATAGGACTGGGTCTGGATTCCCAGCTTCACAGCCTCCGGCTGCCTGGTCCTTCAGCTTGACTGTGAGTGGGTGAAAGGAGTTGGGCTTGGAAGGATGAAGTAACAGCTTGGCAAGAAATTCACACAGAAAATGCTGTTTTTCTGAATAAGCCACAACCGTTTGTACCTGTCCATTCAACCAAACCTTTTAGTAACGGGGTTCACCTCCTCAGGGACTGGGTCACTCAGATAACTGCCTTCCTTCCCTTCCAGCTCATGGTGAACATCATTCTTACTCCAGATCTTCCAGTGAACTCTCCTCATAGGCAATTAGACATTCTGTCCCTCCTAGGCTCAACCACCTCACCCCGCGGCGATCTAGGAAACCCCCCTCAGAATCAACGCCCCAACTCCTCAGACTCAACCATGATGGTCCTCCCATGCAACATTTGGTGCTGCGGTTTCCCTGCAACTGAGGCCATGCCTCTGCCTCAGGGCCTGTTTAAGACCCCTCTAGGGTTTGAATCAAACCAGAGCTCTAGCCATGACCTGGCCTGCTCCTCCCTCCATCATTTATGCCAGTATTGCAATGGGCCCAAGAGCAGGACTTAAATGATGAAGGCCACAGGGACATAGGTAACTGACTCTTGCAGGTACCTGGGTGTCTGAGCTCTGGAGAGGCAGGGGGTCAGGGAACAGGCAGATGAACACTGGCCTGAGAGAACGTGAACAAGATTCAAGTGGTTCTTGTCATTATTGAACTGAAGGGACCCTGGGAAAGACATGTCACCCCTCTTTCCTGAATATCCCCCAAAGCTAGTTTGGCACTTCATCATATACAGTCTTGTAGTCTGGGCTGCTGTGTGTGACTCCAGATCGCTAGACAGCAGGGCCCACGCTACACTTCCACTTCCCCAGAACTCTAAATAGGATGTGTGTGTATGCGGAGAGGGAGGCAGCTGAGAGAAATGCATATGGTAAAGCGTACACACACACACTTACAAAGACTATCAGGCTTCATTTAAAAACACCGTACCCTCATTCTGTCCTGAGGGATTAATAGCCCCATTTTATAGATGGAAAAACGGGCTCTAAGAGGTTAAGTAACTGGCCTTGAAATTCACTGTTGTGTTTACAGAGAGGAGAATCTGTACCGGAAAAACCTGAGAAGAGAGATACAGG